TTTCAAAAAATAAAAACTAGTTATTTCATAAAAATAAAAAGTTATTTAAATACTGTTTTAATTTAATTACAAATAAAGTAAGTGAATACTTTTTAACAATGATACAAATAAAAAAAATGAATAAAAATAATATTCAATACTTTTCTAAGTGTATTAAAAAAATAAATAAATCGACACGTTATTAAAATATATTCTGTATTTTTAAAGCTGAGAATGATAAATATATAATTTTTTCAAGTATTGTTAAATTAAAGATAGTTTTTATAGTATCAAATGATATTTAAGAATAAAATTCACGTTTAACAAGCACAAATTAATCCCTAAAGGCATGCTTTATAATACTGGACCATATAGAAAAAGTTATCATTAAACTTGTGGAGGTAATATCCTGTGAATGTGTCAAGATCTCAACAGAGACAGGGTACAAGGTGGCTGTTCTTTATCTTCTAAACTGAATATATTAACAAAACATTGCAATCACATCGTTTTGTCTAAGATTGAATAGTATGTGGGTTCATTGTCACATGCCATTTTCACTTCAATCCTATGTCCAATCCGAAAAGTAATTGTTTTGAACTTGCCATGTGTTCCAACTTTTTATCAAATAAGTTATGGAGTTTTATTTATTAATGTGAAATGTTTTTTATTATTATCATTATGCTAAGTGCACAATTATGATAATTTAATGATACTTTATGCCTTTTCTTTATACCTTTCCATTCTTTTTCTCACATTAAACTGAGATGATATTGTATAATAACAAAAGACAAAACTTAAGCTTCTTTCATGTGCCTTTAACTAAAATTATAGCTTATAAAAATGTTTAGTGTTGCAATAACATAAAAAGCTAGTAACACCAGATCTTTACCTTATTTTATATATATAAAACAATATCATAAATGGAGTGTAATGAATTGAATATTTTAGAAGTTTAAATTATAAGGTAAATATGTATATTAATAATATTATGATACTTATTGAATATATAAAGAAAATTATTATCATCGATAACTTAATTTGAAATTGTCACTAACATATGTTAAAGTTTAACAATCCATCAGTTGACTATGATTTTTGGTGAATAAATCAAGTTTACAAAATTTAATAACGTTTGAAAACTATTAAATAAATTCAAATTAACATATACTATATTGTTTGTTTTAACATACAAGTAAAATTGATTATAAAATTATATAATTATAAATATCTAATTCATCTAAAATTTGGTTTGCACAATTATCAAAATGAAGTGTATAAACGAAAAAATTTACATACTCCAAACTAAATTATGAAACTTAATTAGGATCCAATTAATTGATTAATAATCAATTTGCAATTTTTTCAAGGTAAGTTATCCCAATAATAGAAATTAAAGTAAAAAAACGCGTCGCGATTTGTTATTTTCAAATGCTTAATTGTTAGGTGTACTTTTTCTTATTATTGACATTGTTAGGGATACTTGCATATCCCAATTAATAACATAACACGTTAAAGTATGAGATGAATAATGTAAGTAACTTTTTAATGCAATAGTTGAGGTTTGAAGTTATAAAATTTAAGTTGGGTCAATTACCTTAATAAAAAATTTAAATTAAGTGGTAGTAAATTTTAATTTGTTTTATTAATTGGTTCCTACATTTCCTTTCAATATTCGAATATTAATTTTCCTAATAAGTAAAACATGTAAAAACATATGTTTATCATTTCATTTCAATATTATTGATTAGCGTTATATTTTAAAATTTTATTTTATAAATCAGAAATCTTTTATATTATTTAAATAATAATTTTTAAGTCAATTCGATTATAAAAATATTAAATGGATTAACACATTTTATTTTTATACATCCATTTCTAATCTTTCAAAAATAAGATGCCTATTTATATATATATATATATATATATATATATATATATATATATTTAAATGTATTTTAAATTATATGAATAAATTTTAAATTTTTATTTATTAATTAGTATTTGTATTAAATAAAATAAAAATATATTATATTTATATTTTAAAATATCTAATTATAATCGTTAATTGAAGTTTAATTGATTAATTCTTACAATTTAAATTATAATATTATAATATATTTACATATTTTAATAATATAATAAAAAATTATAATTATAATTTCTTATTTTAATTTTAATATATAAATATTTTTTTTAAACATACAAATGAACCAATTAGTCTTATCAACTACTAGATGAGACAAAATTGAATAGTTTAATTTTAAGTGGGTTAATATTTTTCATCAATAAGTATATTTTTTTCTGTGTAATCCTACATAAAAGTCATATAATCGGATTATATAAAGTTACTATTAATCTATAAAAAAAATTATAAAGCTTTAAAGGAATTAAAATAGTGATATATATAGTGATTACACGCTAAAAAAAAAAAAAACTTAATTATATGAATGAATTTAATTAAATTATGTAAAAATTGATACTTGATTATAAAATATATTACTTTTTAAGTTAAATATTTAAAAATGTAATAATCTTACTATCCTTAAGTATGACAACAAAATTATCTTACGCTAGTATCTTAATATCCTTAAAACTTTATCATGCATATATGTGAATTAAACTTAATTGTCTTAAGTGGTCGAGGACTATAATTAATATTGCCTTTCATATGTAAACATTAATTATGGTATATACTCCGCATTAATATATATAGTAAAATAATAATATTATTAGTAAAGACAAAACCTCTAATATTATTAGTAAAAAAATGATTAGTTTTCTTTTATTGATTTTGGGATCCAAAGATTTGAGAAAAAAATTATAGCATTTCCTTTTTCAATTTTGCAACAGTGTTGTTGTTATTATTATTTATGCAATTGTTACGCGTAATTATTAATTAATACACTATTACAGCCTACAAAAAAACTTTACTTTACTTTTATGATTAATAATTAATACAATTATTAGAGGTTATTTATTATATTTATGAATTTAATTAACTTGTTAAAAATGACTATATATATATATATATATATATATATATAGAGAGAGAGAGAGAGAGAGAGAGAGAGAGAGAGAGATTTAGATATGAAAATATCAAGATGCAGTTTTGTAAAAGGAATTATTAGTCGAAGAAGTTGAGTCAGTTTTGTTTTTTTCACATTAGTTAAAAAATAGTTTATTATTTATTCTATTTGTTCGAGAAAATCGCCTAAAATAACGATGATAAAAAATAAAAACAGCTGTTATTGTTTTAGAGATATTCTTGTGTTCCTATTTTTTATCAGAGTGAGCCACCTTATTCAGTTTGAATCTCACTCTATAAATAGTTGTATCCCTCTTATTTCTCTTCATACCTTCACTTTCCTTATTTTTCTTTCTCTGTCTAGATCTTCATCCCTTAATTTGATTTTGTGTTCAGGTTTTTATTCTCTCCAATGGTTCTCCCAAAGTGTAGGACCATCTTTTTGGTGATTTTCGCCGTTCTTGTGTTACTCATCAACAATGGCGTTGAAGCTTTTCATAAAATATATCCACATCTTCAATCTACTTCAGCGATTTCCGTGAGCGAACGGCACAGAACCGCATATCATTTTCAACCTCCCAAAAACTGGATCAATGGTACGTGTAATACTGTCAAATAACGTTAATATATTTGGAGCAATTTGAATGCAATGTTCTTGTTGTTATTTAATGTGTTTCAATTGTCTTAGTTTTTTTTGGGCAATTAACGTACAACTCTTTTAATAATAATAATAAGAAGAAGATTTGTAAACAATCTTGGGAAATATATCCTCTTTTAATAGATTCAGTGGTTCTGCATTGAAGTGTCTTGATAATGATCTGAACAGCTGAAAATTTTCTGTAGTTAAGTATGAGGAGATTGTGTAATATGGAACTAGAGTCGTGATCGATGAGTAAGATTTTGAATGATTTTGGGGCATTATTTTGAAGATTAAATAATTATTTCTCATGCACAAAGTGGTTATTGATACAGTTAGGTGTAAAGGTATATGCTTGGTGACGTAGAATCCTTGAAATTTATAATTATATCAGACTAAACGTGTGCCTTTTTGCATGGCTTTCTAATGGTTAAAAATTATGCATGCGAAACTATTATACTAGACACCAAGAAGGGGTGTATAAAGCTGCTTTGTAAGTTATGGCTTTTCAGAAGAAAAAACAAATTATCTATGACTTAAAATTTAAAATCATAATATATATAAAATAGTTTTTTACAAACTAAATTAAAAATAAATTAATTTCAACGTTTCTTTTCATTTTTATTCCTAAAATCCCTTATGGGGAATTCATCAAAATATTTATATTATATATATATATATATATATATATATATATATATATATTATATTGCTAGTGCTATATAGATTATAGAAATTATGTGTGCACCAATTTGTTACAATTTTGGATATATTGAAGTGCATGGTAAAGTGTATTTTCTTGATAAATTTTACAACTTGTAAAATAGAATAAATTATGTTATGAAAAAAATAAAAAATATAGTATAAATTGGTGTATATGACTTCTTACCCTAACTAAAACGAATGTACAACATAATTCCTTTGTCTCTTTGTAAAACAAAGTTTACACTTTAGAATAATTGAATCAAATTCAATATTCGGCACTTAATCTCCAAGTAATATTTTGGAGTCCTTTGATTTATTTTTATTTTTTTAATAACAAAAACAAATTCTCTAGCACTAAAACTAGATAGTCGTTTAATGATATGTAATTACAACCAATCAAACATTATATTAAAAAGAATTAATGAGACATGTTTGTTAACACAAGTGGTTACATTTTTGTGCTATCATAATCGTGTTCCTTAAAAAAGCTAACTTATGTTCTTTTCATGGTTGGAACGGACACAACACAACAATGACACGCAGATCCAAATGGTAAGGCGAAACTTCATTTTATTATACTTAAAATTTTACAGTAAGCATCGATATTCATATTTATTTTGTAAGATTTGTAATTTTGGGAACAACACAGGACCAATGTTCTACAATGGAGTATACCATCTTTTCTACCAATACAACCCGAAAGGTGCAGTGTGGGGTAACATCGTGTGGGCCCACTCAGTGTCGATGGATCTCATAAACTGGAAGGCCCTTAACCACGCGCTTTACCCATCGAAGCCCTTCGACAAATTCGGATGTTGGTCGGGTTCAGTGACAATTGTCCCAGGCAAGGGGCCCATAATCCTCTACACTGGAGTCATAGACACGAACCAAACACAAGTTCAATGTTACGCTGTACCCGAAGACCTGAAGGACCCGTACCTCCGCAAATGGGTAAAACCCGACAAATTCAACCCATTTTTGGTCGCCGACAAAGGCGTTAACGGTAGTGCTTTTAGGGACCCCACAACGGCGTGGCGGAGCAAAGATGGACACTGGAAAATATTGGTGGGTAGTCGAAGGGAGGATAGAGGAATGGCTTATTTGTATAGAAGCAAAGACTTTAGGAAGTGGGTTCGGGCCAAACACCCGCTCCATTCTAGTAGCAACACGGGTATGTGGGAGTGCCCGGATTTTTACCCTGTTTCGCTTAAAGACAAATTAGGGTTGGACGCATCCGTGGATGGAAGTCATGTGAAACACGTTTTGAAAAATAGTCTTGATGTGACTAGGTATGAGTATTATACTGTGGGAACCTATATTCAGGAGATGGATAAGTATGTTCCCGATAAAACTTCGGAAGATGGTTGGCGTGGATTGAGGTATGATTATGGTAATTTTTATGCTTCTAAGTCGTTTTTTGATCCTAGCAAAAATAGGAGAGTCATATGGGGTTGGGCAAATGAGTCTGATTCTGCACAGGATGATACTCGTAAAGGATGGGCAGGGATTCAGGTACTCAATTTAATTTCCTGCACATCTAAAACTTAACATTGTATTGATTTGATGTGAAAGTGGTTTATGCAACATATAATTTTAACTTTTGTGCAAACTAAAGAAAGTTAAATATGCATTTTCTTGTGTGTTGAAATAATCAGGCGATTCCTCGAACTGTGTGGCTGGATTCATCTGGGAGACAATTGGTGCAATGGCCTGTTGAAGAATTAAATAATCTTAGAGGGAAAGAAATAAGCATGAAAAATCAGAAGCTTCAGAAGGGAGACATTGTTGAAGTAAAAGGAATCACTGCTGCACAGGTCAGATTTTTATGTAGCATTGTGTGTTTGTGTGTTCCGTTTTTTATTCATAAAATGACATAAAACTATATTATACAATTGCAGGCAGATGTGGAAGTTACATTTTCAATTTCAAGTTTGGACAAAGCTGAGAAATATGATCCTAAGTGGGTATATGCACAAGATGTTTGTGCTCAAAAGGGATCAAATGTTCAAGGTGGTGTTGGACCATTTGGGCTTTTGACTCTGGCTTCTCAAGATCTGGTGGAGTTTACTCCTGTGTTTTTCAGAATTTTCAAAGATTCAAAAAAGTATGTGGCTCTCATGTGCTCTGATGCAAGAAGGTTAGTCTGTTCAATTTTGGGATAAAGACTCTTAATTTTCTTTCTATTTTCACTCATTTCATTAAAACACAATTGGTTATTTTTAACAGTTCCTCTTTGAAGAGTAAGTTGTACAAGCCATCATTTGGTGGCTTTATAGACTTGGATTTGACAACTGATAAGAAAATTTCTCTAAGGAGTTTGGTACGTGCAATGATCAATTTGGTTTTTACATGTAACATTTATTAGCTCCAGGACACTCATAATTGATTACTGTTTTTCATCTTGGTAACTAAATGACAGATTGATCACTCAGTAGTGGAAAGTTTTGGAGCAGGAGGAAAGACAAACATTTTATCTCGAGTTTATCCAGAGCTAGCAGTGACAAATCAAGCTCATCTTTTTGTGTTCAACAATGGCACTGAACCAATCACTGTGGAAAACCTCAAAGCATGGAGCATGAAATCTGCTCATATACACTGATAACTAGAAATCAGAGTGCAGAAAAGAAAATAGCTTTTCACAGATGATGTAAATAAAAATAAAATTTAGGAACACTATCTTTCTCACATATCTTTGTCTCCCAGTGAATTGGCATTCATCCTATGTAATCAGTATGAATGGGATCATTTTAAAAAAATGTGCTTAGAAGATACTGTATTAAAATATATAGCTTAAAAAAACCACGCAGTAATTTTGTTATTTGGATAAATATTTTTAATTGACTTTCCATCACAATTTTATTTTTTTATCTTTGTGTAAATGTTATAAGAACTAAAAATAACTATTTTATAAGGATTAAAACAAAATCACAAAAACAAATTTTAAGAGTTTTTATGATATACTTAAAAAGTTAAAGAAAGATCTTTTGTAGACAAAAAGAGAAAATTCAATTGTATGAAAATCCAGTGAGAAAACATATTTAATACATGGTTGTTATGTCCCTATTCCCTATATTTATGGCCGGCCTCATAGCTTCTAAATTATGTTTTTTTTTTCGTCTAAATAAAACTTTTAATCATGTGTTCTTTGATTTTGATTTGATTTCTTTTAAAATAAATATATTGATTTGATATATTTGGATATGATAGAAAAATAATAATGAACTTCTCTTTATATTAAAATTAACTTACTCTTAACTTCTTCCACATTAATTTTGATTATTAAATTTTTTAATATCTGGATTTTCTTTTATCACTTAAAATTTTCTAACTGATTACGCCATCACTTAAAAAAATAATTAACTCATTAAATATTATTATTAATAAATTTTTTAAAATATCACAAATTTTACTTTAATTCTCATAGATATAACTTTCTGCTTTTAGTTTCTACAATCTTACATTTCTTTGTAGTTTATTATTATGAAAATTTTAATTATAATAATGTATAAAAAATATTTGACAAAAAACTATAGAAATTATGGAAATAAAAGCCTATAGAAATTAAAACATTATATTTGATTAAAAATATCCTTTGAAATCAATCCATACGAAGATTGTGTAAAATTTAAACATAAAAGAAAGTTTTGTTTTTTTTTTGGTTACATATAAAAGTTATGTAATAAGTTCAAACTTCTAATTTCGGTATTATAAAGGTGAGAATATTTCACGAGTCTAAAATAAAAACTATTTTTAATTATGATTATGGTGAAAATATAGTTTTAATTTAATCTAAATTGTTTTTAATAGATAATTATATTTTGTTATTATATTCATTAAATAACTTGATTTTCTGTATATAATATTTGTTATAATAGACTATTATTTTTTGTAAGATTTTTGAAATTACATCCACGTAAGAGATTTCATCTTATGACTATTATAAAGATTTGATCACATGTAAGAACATTTATTAGGATACCATATAAATATTGAGACTCAAAATAGGTTAAATAATCACATTATTATGTCGTATTATACAACACATGACAGGACTCTTTATTTAGCCATCACATCAAATGTTGTTATAAAATATCATTAGGTAGTGATTAACTATGATAAGTGAAAAATGTGGTTGTAACCTAACTCTAAATCCCTTTTAATTGGTTCTTTTATGTTGGATATAAAATCTTAGGTTAGTGACTCATTATTCTATTGTTATATTCCTTAAACAACTTTATTATCATTACGTCGAAATTGCAATAATGGACCATGATTTTTGGTGAGTTTTTTGGAATTACATCCTTAAAGGGATCTTATCTTATAACCGATGTGGAGGTTCAATCACAGGATAAGAACATTTATTTGAACACCACATAACATTTCAGCTTCAAGTCATAGACGTTAAGGCTCCAAAATAGGTCAACTACCGGTATTATTATGTCGCGTCATTCGATCACACGACGATACCTTTATTTAGACACCACATTACTCTTAACATCAAGTCTAAGACACTAAGACTTAAGTAAATCATTTGATAATGATATTATGTCAAGCTATTCAGCCTAGCTATCACGTAACCACAACCTCAAATCTAGAACCACATAAGATAATGAGGACCATACCGAATCATGTTTGGAACTCACGTGATCATGTCGAACCTCATAAGGTCTTATCGGTTCACACAAGGTTATGTTGTCATGTTGAAACTCACAAGATCATCCTATCAGAACTCACATAATTCGATGGTCAAAATCTTAAAATGAATCTGCATAATATTAAAATAGATCAAAATCAATAACAATTATCTCGAAATATAATTTTAATATTTCACATTCATTATTAAAGAATTCAAAACATAATAATATAATATTTAAACAAATTATTATTTATTAATTTTGTATTTATTTAATAATAAACAACCATATATAATAAAGTAACAATATTTTTATTAATTAAAAAATAGCATGACTATTTCTTATTAAAAAACAAGAAAAATAACACCTTAGTATAGTTATTAAACCAGTATATATTTTTTATAAGATTAATTTTTAAAATACATTATTACTCTTTCCTTTTTTATTTTAGTGAAAAATATCACAATAAACTTAATAAAAATTATAATATATTAATATATTTCATTAAATAACTTTGAAGAATTAAATTATGTTTTCAAATCATAATATATATATATATATATATATATATATATATATAAAATTTTTTAAATGAGTTAATAAAAAATTGATAAATAAACATATAATAATAATAATAATAAATAAAAAGTGAAAACAAAAATAAAAAATAAAATTTGATCTTAATGCACATTGATGATTTCTTCCTTCTCAAAAAAAACTACCGCTGTTATCTTATCATAAATTATTATTGTGTTGAATAAATATGAATTATTATGTTTTAAAAAAAAAAAATTGAATCTAGAAACTAAACAAATTATTATTCTATTATTATGTAAGTTAATTCTTATTCCAAGATTTATAATAATAAACCATAATTCTATACAAAATTTCCGAAATCACTTTCATGGAAAAATATCATTATGAAGGTTTGGCCACTGACAAAAACCTTCGTTTATTTGCACCAAATATATAACATGAAAAGAGCGATTAAATTAAAAGCAAAAACCTATAGTAAAATGAAACAGACAAAATTTTAATAAATAATTTTTAATATCATTTTTTATTCATTATAATAATTAAAATTGTAAATAATATATATATATATATATATATATATATATATATATTTTCCTTTCAATTCATTATTATTACATCCGGTTGATCTAAAAAGAAAATGCTTTCCTACTAATTTTTTCCATTCTCAGGAATGCGTAATTTTAAATTTCTAAAACTTGATTTACAGATTGACATGTAATAATCTTATTTTCATTAACTTTATGCCTTATCTACGCAATTTTGTAACTAATATTCTCCATGATTCATCACCATTTGAATGATTACTTATTTAGATAAAAATCATAATGGGTTTAATTATACCCTATGGAATAAGAATTGGGATGTCTACAAGCATAAAATCACCTGAAAACAGTAATGTAGAAGTTTAAATGAATACAAGACCATCCATTCGTTTCATGACACCGACACACGCTCTTATTTCAGAGAACAAAAGTTAGTACTGCGTAGCATCTAGATTGAATAAGCAAAGCCAGTAATTAAAAAAGCATTAACAATAACTTGATAAAGATCATAATGTCATCTTCATAGCAATATAATTGACCACTACAAAAATATCCTCAAAAACATTCATTAACCAAAACAAAAAACAACTAATGATAATTATGTAAACAACAAAGAGACCCAGTTCCACAATTCCGAAACAGACAAGAGACCAACAACATTAACCAGAATTTACTTGATCTTCTTCTTTGGCCTCAACTGCAGGGTTGAAACAATGTTACAAATAATTATATTACAAAAGACAAATATATGGTTAAACATCAGTTAAAATCTATGACCTAGTTAATGCAATGGGATAATTAACATAGACTTACTTGATTACTGTGACCACACTTCTTCTTACGACAGTTCACAGCCCTTGGGTGCAGACGAGCATAGCACCTAACAAACCAAAAGCACGATACTAAAGTATAAGCAAAAGGTACAATATAATAAAAAAGACACGTAACATAAATCAGGTTTCAGTAATTAACAATAAATAGGAATAAACGTTGAATGTACCAACCACGAAAATCAACTGTGAATATAAAACCACAGTCAACAAAGTAGAGATGGACATGAATATAGGGAACAATTATAACCCCTTTTGCAGTGTAAAGCAAAAGGGGCTAAGTTATTGTCCCATAAAAAAGACAAGTACATATAATAGAGTTCATACTTGCGGCAAATCGTTTTGTCTTGGTTGTATTTGCGGGCCAAAGCCATAAGCGAGGGCTCAATGATGCCACCGCGAAGCCTGAGGACGAGGTGAAGGGTCGATTCCTTCTGAATGTTGTAATCGGCCAAGGTCCTTCCATCTTCCAACTGTTTCCCCGCGAAAATCAAACGCTGCTGATCCGGAGGGATACCTGAACATTCATTCAACAATAATTAATTTAGGTCATGGAAATTTGAAATTGTGATGTAATGCATGGAGTTTGGAATTGGGCATACCTTCCTTGTCTTGAATCTTGGCCTTGACATTGTCGATGGTGTCGCTGCTCTCAACCTCAAGGGTTATGGTCTTCCCCGTTAGGGTTTTCACGAAAATCTGCATCTTTGCCGCTCCTGCTGCTGCTTCACTCTCTAGCTTAACATATGCCGAGTCGGGTTTTATATTCTCGTTTCTAGGGTTTCAAATTGATGAGCCTGGGCCGTGGTTTTTTAAGAGATTTAGGCCCAATTGTGTTGGATGTTGGATGTTGTATGTTGTTGGTCTGTAATAGAGCTGTGTTTTGGTAAGCCTGATTGGTATTAAGTGCGTGTTTGGATACAGGTACAATTTTAAAGAGTTTTTCTACTTAAAATATAAAGATTTTTGTTTTTAATGGAGAAAAACTCTCAAAACATATAAACCGTTTGAATCTTTTTGTGTTGCTCATGTCAGCTATATTATTTGAATGGATAAAAATGAAAGAAAATAAGAATTTAAATTTATTAAAATGTCTAATTATGCTTTTAATCCCTAAAACAAAAGGTAAATTATTTTTTAGTTCTTTAAATAAAAAGTAATTAATTTCAGTTCATCTATGATTTTAGTCTATAAATATAATTTTTGAAAGATTAAAAAAAGTTTTGAAAACTCAGTCTAATATTTTTAATTTACTGTTTCAAGACTAAAATCATTCTTTATTTATTGTGAAGGGTTAAAATAATTTTTTAAATTAAAAAAACTAAAATGAAAACTACTGTACATTTTAGATAATAAAAATATATAATTAAGCCTTAATTTTCTTTTTGAGATTTTGGAAATCAAGCTGTATAGAGAACACATATCTCAGGGCATGTGTTCGTTTTCTTTTATAAGAGATTAATTTTTATATATTGTCGGTATTAATAATGTGAATAAATAAAAAATATTACAAATATATAATTATTATAAAAATTAATAATCTTATTGGTTAATTAGATACTGATGTAAAAAAATTAATATTCTTGACGATTATTTGGTATAAGCATTTGCCTTTGTTTGATTTATTTCCAATTCTCAAAAGTTTGTTCAGAAACAATGAAAAACTTATATTTTATTATCGTTTTCTTTCCTATATAAATTTCAGAAAATAAAATGCATATAAAAAATGACTTTTTATTCAAAACCAAATGGTACCTAGACTCTTTCAAGCTTTAGTGCTATTTTTTAGTAATTTTTTTTTTTTGGTCTCATTTTAAAAGATAGAATATCACTAGCTGAATTTTGTCATTGTAAAACAGAATCCCAACATATTAAAATGTATAAAATGGGTGTCACCTATTACTTTCAATCTCATTGACAAAACAAAAAGTCATTTCTCATATATGTATCTATTAACGTTTTAAATAATATATTTCTTTTGCGTCCTGAGTTCAAGGTTTTAGAAATAAAAACATTATAATAATAAAAAAAAACATGCATACATATATCAAAACAATTAATTATTTAATTAATAATTCAAACACCTAAATTAGTTGTGAATCCTTATATTCACAAATACAATGAATTGTATGCAATTATTTGGTAATTGATAAAATTGTACATGATTAATTTTATTACCTGCCAACCTTTTCTGCTTATTGTAAAGATTTTCCATTCTGCAACAATGTTCAACGACGAATGCCGCGAGCACAACTAAAGCAGGAACTAGAGGGATGCTATCTTGGAAGCCACAATCTCAAGAAGTCCCTTTGGGTTGTCCACATGAACCCAATGACCAGCATTTGGAAGAACACAAAAGGAAACTTTTCCAAGAGAGTCGGATCCTCCCCGATTGGCTAGTTTCTGGATCCTCTCAATAGCATCTTGGTCCCATCTGTCACTTTTTTCAGCACGCACAATTACTATTTCCATACCTTTAGGAGGTTTCTCCAATAGATTCCAGTAAGACTTTTCACTGCAGAATTGTAAGGTCGGGGATTTGTTACTTTTGGCTGTGGAAGAAGATCGCAGAAAATACTCGAGAAAAACAAATAACCAGTTTAATGAAATAGTTAGATATCCGAATAATTGTCTTCTGTTTCTATTTCTTATTTCAAATATTTGTGAAGAAAATGATGAAAAGATCATTTCAAATGTTTACTCAAACCAACTGTGCTTCATTTACCAGTAAGAATCGAACATCTCCTTAGCATTTTCAAGATCAAATATCCACGTCTCATGATCACCAACTTTTTTCAGGTTGGTGCCTATCCAGTCCGACAGTGCTTTAGAGTAACCAAGTCCCATCAGATGATTCACAAGCCACCTGAAAAAAAGGTGCAGTTTACATTTCAGTCCAACTACAGTATTAGATTGGCACGAGGAAGATTCGTATATCTTACATTTGTGATAGTGTTTGATAATTAATACATTGTACTTTCAAAAAGTTTCAAGACACAAGTATTTTTAGACATTAGACAACCAATCAGATAATCACATCATCAGAAGAAAATGAAGAAAGAACATAGAAAGTCCTTCCTTCCGCAACAAAAATGACCTCAATCATTACGCTTAGAATGTTTAGCAAGCATTTGTAGATTTCCATTGTGCATCAAACGTAATATAAAACACTATGATAGGCACTTCATGTCATTGTAGACAATAAAACAGATCATATACATGAAAAATGGAAAAAAGAACAACTCTCTATTCAAACATATTGTTTAGCAGGTATTCATCATATATCTTGTTCTCCTAAAATGCAACTGGAGGACGAAACATATATCAGGACATAGAAAATGTTGACTCGATACACCAAAAATTATTACTGGCCTACTGCCAAACTACTAGCATCATAACTGAAAAGGTTCAGGGATATAGAGTCTCACTTGCGAGATGGGAATTGTGATGGTAAACTTTGCAAGGTCGCTAAAACATTCCGGACTTCATCGTTTGTGTTTCCAGGGTTCACTTCTCCAGGGACAGAATCCAATACCCAGAGCTGTTCTTCAGGAAGGATAAAAACAGAAACATAAAGAGGACTTCAAGCCTATAGTACAATTGCTTCATTTTAAAATCCATTATACAATTCTTGAAAATTGTTTAATTTCAGACGGAGAGAGAAAGTTAGAGATTTTTACTAAACTTGAAACTTTTATCCAAAGAAACTAATCTTTTCTGTTCTGAGAGTCTAATATTTATTTATTAGCGTGGTGTTAGAACTAAAGAGTAACTAGATTCGAACGAAGAACTGTAATAACAGAATGTAACCTAGTGATACACTACTATAGAGACCCTGTTTAATTTCTCCACAAGCACTTAAAAAAATGAACTGTTCCAATGAACTAAAATCAGCTTATGCTCTTAACTATTATACAAGTTTCTCATCCAACTTCTTTGAAAACCAAGACCTGTAATTTGATTTTAATTGTAACTTATGGGAGTTGTGTTCAAACCGTATTACAATCCGCAACTCGTTTCATACACCAAGAGGAGATCACAGATCTTAATTTTGCAAGGAGTTCAGCCCAAAAACATTAATTTCCTATAAGAACAAAAACTTCATTGAAATTTAGCTAAAATTTTAATAAAAAAATATATTTCGAAATATGATAATAATGCATCTCGATAAAGAAAAACCATACACATCAGGTTAAAATAGAAGACACCCAAGTTGCTAACAACTTAACTTTTGTATACATATGTAGTTGATATGTATAATATATTGAAACCATTTTCTAACTTCGACCATATGTCTGCGACATTACTATCCGCTATATGACATACCCGATTATCCACTAAATGATATCTGCAATTGATAACACTGTAGTGCACTAAGAGGAAAAGTTGTATGGCTTAAGTATCACATTCATTAGTTTATTCTCGAAACATTAATCCTGTAGTTTAGTTTGTGGCTATAACAACATATTCTGTCCCTCTTTCTTTATCATTTTACCGTGCTAATAAATAAGCTTACAATCACAACAATGTAAAACATGACTCAAATAAACCGCCAATTAACTTATCATACTATTGAATTCAAGTGTTGAAAATATAACTATCTATGGCAATAAGTAAAGAGAAACCTGTTTAGGCGACAGAACAGCATGACCATAGTCACCGCGGCTACAGCTCTCAGCAAACTGCAAAGCCACCTTTCCACCCATGGAGTGACCAACGACAACCTCAGGCCAAGGCCAACCTTCAGCCTTCACCAAATCGGCCAAATCTTTGGCCGCAGTTTCGATATTGTGAGGTGGATTCAGTTTTCTCTCCGTCGATTTCCCGTGGTTCCGCATATCCAACATCACCGTCCTCCAATCTGCACGGAAAGAGAATCGGGAAATGGTAACTCAACTAGGATTAGCAAATTAAAAAATGGAAAATGAGAGTGAAGCGCGTGGTACTGGAAGAGGGAGAGGAATTGGAGAGAGAAGCCAAGAGGTTGCGAGAGAAGGAGCGCCAGTTTCTGGAGGATCCCAAAAAGCCATGAATGAAAACTGCCGTTGAAGTGTAAGGCTTCTCCGGATGCGCTCGCAATTCTTCGTAGGCTACGGTTCCCAGCCACCTTCGACGGGGGAGAGTCGCTGAGTTGAGGAAGCGAATCAGGAGGTGGGGGCTGTTTCTGGTTCTCAGAGATGCCACCATTCTCTGATTTGCTTTTACTTTGACCGGGCTTGTAGTTTCTTCTCACACACCGGTTATGCACACCTTGGCCCAATGGAATCATTGAAGGCGGAGGAGACATCAGAAATTTTAGTTAAAAACTAAAAAAATAAATTAAAAATATTGACAGCTGTGGGATTTGAACCCACGCCCTTTCGGACCAGAGCCTAAATCTGGCGCCTTAGACCACTCGGCCAAACTGTCACATATGTATAATTTTCAATTAGTTTAATAATCTTTAAAAACAGAAGATAAATTTTCTTTTTTATTCCAACAAATATTTCTTATCGTCTAAAAAATATTAAGTTCTAAAAATTGTTTCAAAAACAGATTTTTGAAAATTAAAATAGCTGAAAAATTATTTCTCATAGCTTCTTTTATTCTCAGTGTCGTATTGAAAAAGACAAACGTATATATATTAGAGAAAAAAAGAATCTTAGAAATTAAACCCATGTTAACAAAAATTATAACTCTGACGCACCCTGATTAACTAACAAATATTAAGGGATAAACACTTTTACATATGCTTAAAATAAAAATAACTTTCAAAAAATAGAAAACTTGTTTAAAAATTAAATATTAAGTAAGCAGGTTTCTGCAATTCACTTGTTGGGATAAACTTCTTTCATAAAGAGATTTAGCAAATAATATTTTGTAGGAAAAATAATAATAAACAATTTAAAAAAAAAATTAAAAGTAGTTTATCCCTAAATTTATTTAAAAAACCCTAAGGGTTCACTACTAAGTTTTTTACAAATTAATGGTGTATCCTTTTAATAATTTTATTATGTCTCTGCAATTGAAAACGGCAAGGGGATAATTTTTATTTTGGTTGTCGCATCAACTAAATTCTATGTATTTTTCTAACTACTTAATAATAAGGAAACGTGAGAAAAAAAAACCGTGTCGTTTAAAAAGAAAATAACATGAAAATTAAAAATATGTTATTTTTAAAATATAAATACTTAAATTAATTAATATTTATTTAATTAAAAAATTATATAATTACTAATTGATTTTTTATTAATAAAATATTTATTAAAGTATTTTTTTAATTAATTTTTCTTTTTCTAATAATATATATTTTGATATATAATTAAAAAATATAAAATAATTTGTATTTTATAAATTTATCTTCATTCTTTTATTTTATGATTTTAATATATATATATATATATATATATATATTAAAATCATAAAATAAAAGAATGAAGATAAATTTATAAAATACAAATTATTTTGTATTTTTTTATATAAATAGGTATGTTATAGTAGAAATTGATTTTTTGTGTTATTTTTGTAATTATTAAAAATATATTTTTTTATTTTGTTACATTAATTACTTTCCATTATATATTTTTTCTGAGCATATAGCTGATTTATTGCTTAAAGGGGCACTCTATTGCTTAAACCATTATAATCAAACACATGGCTGATTTTAAAAATATGTTGTTTCTATATTCAACCATTATATAGTGAGATTTTATAGAATAATAAATTGTCAATCAACACTCCTGCCATAAGTAAATAAAATACTCTATTTGCACCATTTTTTCATTGATAAATAGGTAAATGGATAATAGAAAGACTCGTCCGCAATTAAAAATAAAAATATAATCAAAGATAATTTTTTTCATAATAAATTATTCATTTGATTAATCTTTTTGATAAAAAAATTATTGGTCAAACTTTATTTTTCTTTAAGTTGATTTAGATTTTTATGATATTTTTAATAAATATATTCATACTGATATTGTAACTTATGTAATGGATTAAGTTTTATTTTACGTCAAGTTATTATTGTAAATTGATGTTGTCGGACTATAACATATCAGAGATTGAGGAACAATATAGATTATCAGATACGTGTGAGTCTTTGAAAAAAAAATACATAAACAATAATCTTTTATTAAATATCCATCCAACAATTATATTATTATTTATTTATTTATCATATTTCATTTTTTTATCAATACAAAAATATTATTTTAAGATAATATATTGGATTTTGTAAATTGAAGAATATCAACAAGATGAATCCATTTTCTTAATTTATCACAATCACACTACTTATTAGTAACCTAAAATCTAAAAAACATGACCAAACAATGATAGATATATCAGTCAAAAAGAGGAGAACCAAATTTAATTAGTTATTTCACAACTAAGTACTATAACAAATAAAGAATAACCTAAAACCTGTGTTTCTTTTTACTAAATAAATAAACATAGAATTTTAATTCTATAACTTAAAATTTATAGGAAGTGTTGCTTCATTCATTTGCAAGGGAGAATCATAATATAAGTTTTACATATCAACATGTAATCATTTAACCTTAATAATTGATTATGCATGTGGATCAACAATGATTCACGATGAATAAAATAGATACTAGAAATTTAGTTATCACTTCATAAAGAACAAAAGGAGGAGACTTGAAGTTTGTCCTTCATAGGTTGCTCCTGTTCAAACTAGTAGCACTTTGTGTTTGAACAAAGGATTTATTCATATAGTCATGTGACTTTGTTGTTCACTGACAGGTTTGCCTAGATGTCCATTGACAGTGCAAAATGAATGTTACAACGTAGTAAATGAGTAAAAAATTCGGTACAAAATAATGTCACAAGTCCACCTTGCAAATACGTAACTTATAAGCAAAAGTTATAATTAAATAAAGTGATATTTGATATCAAATAGTTTTAGCACAGATTTTTGGTTAATAAGACTAACATAAAACAAATTCAATAACAAATAAAATAACTTTTTTCATACAATTTTTTAAGTCTTCTTACCTTTTGATACAAATCTCAATCAAAGACTGATTAAAATGAAAGTTCTACATTGATTAAAAAAAATCCCAAAAATATCAATAATAGAAATTAACAAGAACAACACTTAAACGTATATATAAAATTACAGAAAAATAAAAAAGAAGAATTAAAGAATGACGTAGTTTGTTTGAATTGAATGCGTGGCTTGAATTTCAATTCTGGTTTTCAGGGTCACTCTAAGCAGGACTTTACAGGCCTAGGCATAGACTAGGAGGAGAAAACAAAAGAAAAGACGTGCATTAGCGATGTAACCACGTCAGGGATGAAAGCGGGTCCTACACAGAAAGAGGTTCCCCTTCTTTGGTTTTGCTTACCACTCTCTCTGCGACGCTCCGCCACATCACCCACACTCACTGAACCATTATTCACCATCTTTCCTTTTCTTTCACCCTTCCCTCTCTCTCTCTCTCTCTCTCACACACACACACACACACACTCTCTCTTTCACTCTTTCCTATCCCCACACCAACCAAAAAAAAAACCAAAAGTAATGGACCCCACACCATCCTTCCACCGCCGGTCCTCCTCCTCCTCCTCCGACCGGTTCCTCGGTCCATACCCCGCCACCGCCGTTTCCTCCTCCTCCCCCGCCGATGAGCTCAACGAGGCTGAGCTCTTCTGGGCAGCTGATTCCTCCGAATCGGAACCCCAGCGCCACGCGCCCTCGCCCAAACACCGCCTCCGCAACTTCGATTGCCCCCTCGATTCCGGAATCCTCGTCGTGCTCACCGATCCCGATAACCGCGGCGGTGTGTTCCGCGGCAAGTCGCCCGTTCAAACCTCCTCGCGCATGATGATTCCGTCGCTGCCGAGGCCGCCGGCATCCGACTACGTCGCTCAGTCCGCGCCTACTAGAAAGTTCCAGCAGTCCGCGCCCGTCAAGATCCCGATTCTGATCGCGGCCGGCGCCTCCAGGCGCCGCAACGCCGACGATTTCGCGCGCGTGATTGACGACGATGATGACGAGGAGATGCTGCCGCCGCACGAAATCGTGGCGAGAGGCTCCGGCGTTTCGCCCAAAACCACTTTTTCGGTGTTGGAAGGAGTTGGGAGAACGCTCAAAGGGAGGGATCTCTGTCAGGTTAGAAACGCCGTTTTGCGCCAAACCGGTTTTCTCGATTGATTAATTTAATTTAATTTGACTTACTTTCCCTTTTTTGTTTCTCTCTCTCTCTCCTTTGTTGAGGTGGGGGAAGTTAAATTTTGATAGCTTCCCTGCACGACCGTGATAGTTTCTCTCCATGTAACTTCGTTTTCTGACGGTCTTTTTGTTCTGTGTTTTATATAGAATCTGGAAACGATGTTAGTTGCTAGACCAAACTTGGTTAAAGTCTATCTTTTTTTTTTTTTTTTTCTTCTTCTTCTTCTTCCTCTGGATTAATGAGTGATTAACATTTTTAACTTCGATTTAGTTGAGACATTTAAATTACTAAACTTTAATGTTCGTGTTCTTGTTACTATTCATATGCACGGTCTCTGAAATCTAATATCTGGAGATAAATAAATGAAACAATCCTGTGTTGATGAATGGAGTGAATACTAATCAGATTGTTGGTATTTTATTAATGTGATTGCAAACATTACTTCTACTTGCTTTGATAGGAGGTGAAGGACAATAATTGTGCTTTGAAAAGCTTGTAGAGTTGGTGAGATTGTTGTCCGTATTCGTGTTAACATGTTTCTCGATGAATCTTGCATCACGGATTAGATTCTTATTAAGCTTGATAAAGGGCCATGATTAGTGATTGTTAGAATATAAGTGCCACTTATTGTGTTTGTAATTTTCTGATATGGATCAGTTATGATTTGTTGATTTCATTCCATTTTGTGCATGATTTGAATCTCCCTCAGCTTTCAGCTGAATGACGTATCGTACTCTGCAGATGTCTGTGGTTGGGAAAAATGTTGATTTGAGAGTACCCTATAGAATATGTACAGCTTGAAGATTTAGTTCATTGACTTGTGTTGGGTTGATCATCAATTTTCACATGGTGAAATTCATTGTTTGGCCCACATTGGACAAAGTTGTGGGCAAACTACATTGCTTGTTGAACTGGTATTACCCAGACATGAAAAATGAACAAATCGTTTTCCTCATTTAAAATGTTTTATTTCTTCATCACCCAACAAAGTAAATTGGACAGAATTGAAATGTTTTATATTCACACACTAGTGTAAAGCCATGTTAGCAAATACCTCCGTTTGGATGCGAAGGTGGAAATGGAGAAGAAGATAAATGTAGGAAGGAGGTGGTGGTATGAACATGATGAAATAAAGATATCAGTGTCACTATATTTCATTCACATAATTGAGAAAAAAAGTAACAGCTATGCAGAACAGGCTAATCGACTGTGCGGATAATTAATTATGTTCTAAAATGATATTATTAAATGGTTTTTAATACCTGATAGATTATGTAATTCATAAGATCGCATTTTTTTTAGTTATTTTGTTTCCTGTAAAAAAAAAATCACTTATTTCTTATACTTTTCTCCTTTCTTTTTATCTCCTTTAAAAATTTTAATTTTTTTTCTTGATTATCCTTTAAGATTAAGGTATTTATTTTCAAGTGTTTGATTAATTTCTCTTACCCAACTTAAGAATTTTTTTTTCTACATAAAGTAGTTCTAAAACTTCTTAGATTCTCTTATTTGTTTACATCTTACAGTGAATCCATATTAGTTATTTTTTAACTATTATAATAAATGTGTAACTAAATTGGAGAAAAAATAATTAATGTAATTTGAAATCTCGAAAATGATATATAAAATCACAATTAGGGGGACATATGTTAGGGTAATAATTAAAATTTGATAGAAACGTCTTTTTACATATTTTCAAGAAAGAAGCAATTTAGTTACATTTGGATACACTAGTGAGGATATATATTAGAAATGTCAAAATAAAATTGGACTATTTCATCAAATCCTTTTCACTAGTATAATTTGTACATCATGTCTTCTTAACAAGACATATGTCCCAGCAAAACTCTTTTCTTAAAAATGACTTTGAATAAAAAAAATATTTAAGATTTTTGTAATGAATATTTAAATAGGATTGGTTTATATATAATTTATATGTTATATTGCGTGCATGTTGATTTATAGACAATCTTTAATAATTCTTTCAAATAACGATTTAATTTTTCCCGACTGCACTATCCAGTAGTTACCCTAATATTTAGATAGTGAATTTTAGAATTAGAAAAAATTAAAAATATGAATATGTTTCTTTCATCTTCGTGATCAAATTATAGCTCTCACAAAAACAAAAGTAATTTATAACAATACAATATCTATAAAAGATACTTCTGTTATACTTTATATATATATATATATATATATATATATATATATATATATATTTTTTTTTTAAAATTCAGTTGCAAAGTGTATGAAGGCCTAAACTTAAATTCATTTTTTCTTCTTTCTCTTTTGGAAGTAACAATTCATGATTAATCCAAAATAAAATACTATTTAATGATTTTATTATATTTTTAATAATATTTTAAAATATTAACAACTATAAACCAGTTTTATTAAAATATTATATATATATATATATATATATATATATATATATATATTAAAAAACTTGATAAAATGTACTATCCATTTATAATTTTTATTAATAATACTACGACTTCATCAAATAATTGTTAAATATCATCCATATTCATTATCATGAAATTGTTAATTTTTTTTATAATAATTTTTTGTCATCATATATTTTTTAAATTTAGCATCATTTAAAAAGAAAAAGCTGAAATAATAGCTTTATACAATTTTTTTGACTTATTATTTAAATTTAAAAAATATTTTTTAAGTTTAAAAACAAACTAAATCAAACATGCTTCATGACTCCAATATTTTATTTTCACATGTTCAAACGTGAAAATACACAGTTCCAGTTATTTTTCTCAGAACACTAGGGAAAATTATCAAAATATCATTGATTATATATTTTTCATTTTTATTTAATATTTAAATTTTCCCAGTAATCCAAATATATGCTCAAAGGACATCACTCTTTCACTCTATTTCTTTAACAAAAATTTATTCGATAAATTTAATAGATAATATGAAAGCATCCTCAATATTTATTTTGCAACAAAATCAATTTGAAGATTTAAGAGTTTGATTTAATAACAAAATATTTCTTTAAATGCTAACTTTGATAATTAAAAACTTTCAAATACTTAACATAATCTGAAACTTTTCTTCAATACTATTTAAAAAAAACATTTTAATTATTATACTATATTTTAATACATTGTCGTTTAAAATGAAATATAAGTAGCATTATTATTAGTTAAAATACCTATGTTGATAATTAAACAATTTCAAAAAATTATATTACTAAAACATCATTTTCATTTAAAAATACGTAAAATTATGTTTTTTTTTCTATTGATAGGAAGTGTTCATCCCAAAATACTTAACTACAGCAAAATAAATGACTATCGCTTGGGTAAAGTATGAAAATACGTAATAATAATAGTAATACTTATGAAAATAGTAAGTTATTAATTAATTTGGGTATTAGCCATTGTTATCCGTGATATTTGTTATAAGCGAAAACCATAATAATTGTTACGAAATTAATCTCAGCAAATTTTAGTTAAAATTTGATTTAAATACAATTAATCAAGTTGAATTAGTCAAAACACTTTATATTAAGAAATTGCTGAAAATGATGTAAAATTAAACAAAAAAACTCAGTATTGAGAAAATGATGCAAAAATGAAAGAAATAAGCTCACTTGATAGCCTTTTTATCAAATGCAATATAAAAATGTTAACTCATTAAGAATTATAATTCATAATTTTATTCTAATAATTATAGCTTATAATTTTATTATAAAATTTTATTTTAGATTTTTTCTAAACTTATTTCAAGTCAGATATTAAATAAAAAGAAACACAAATACTAATAATTAATATAATGTTAGGCAAGTCAGAGATATGAATGGAATTGCCTCAAGATTTTGAATTCAAAAAGGATTTCTCCTTTCATACATCTAATTGAATCATCATCCTTGCCTTGTGTTTTCTTTAAAATAATAAAAGAAAAATTAAACCCTACACAAAAAAATCCACAAATCTAAAGCTGTATAAATGTTTCCCACCAAAGACAGAGGCATTGATTAAAGACCAGACCAAGGAAGATGAAGTCCATTTAGTTGAATCTAAAGAAGGCGAAATGGGAAATACCACAGTTGCCATAGAAATCAACAATAAATGGGGGAATTCAAACTCCAATGGACTACGAAGGTTTCAATGAATCGTGATAGCAGAAAAGTGGTGGAAAAATAGGACTCAAAAGGAAAACCCTCATGAGATACCTCAAAGCGTATTGATATGGCGCTGCTATGACTCGACACGCTTCCATGGACAAACTGGGAAGGCGATCTTAAGGGCAGCGCCTACAGATAATCGTAGATTCACCATACAATCATGAAAACAACGAAACTAAACAAAAAACTACACGTTTTCTGAAGCGAGCGAGCGAGCGAGCGAGCGAGAGAGAGAGAGAGAGAGAGAGAGAGAGAGAGAGAGAGAGAGAGAGAGAGAGAGAGAACGATAAACCCTAGTGAGCATGCGTTCGAAACGTGGGAATATATAGTCTCGGTAGATGTTCTCCTATTGGGCTTTTCCATTTCATTGGTAAGGCCTTAAGCCTTTCGGCTAAATGGGCCGAAACTAATTTTGGTTTCCAATTCCACTTAGGGGTATTATTTTTTGCTGTCTTTTTTTTCTGTAATTTTAATCAAATTTTAAATGCAAAAATTTGTTCAGTCAAAAACATTTTGATGATAAAATTAATATTTTAAGAATTTATTAAATATTTTATGGATTTCTTTAAATATAGAAATATGTAATGTTTTAGAAATTAATTTGACACCGTTACAATTATAATACATTCGGAAAAATAGTTTTCGTGTATATTAAATGTTATTTAGGAACTAAATTCCAGCATCTTAATCAAAATACGAATTCAAAAGTAATTTTAGAAACATTTTTTTTTAAATAGAGAAGAATGTATAAGTTAAAAACGATTGTAAAATCCACCCCTTTCTGCAAAAAAATAGGGCAGAGTTAATGTACCACTAAACGTTTTTTTA